AAATCCCAAAGATGATTTTAAATATTTAAAGCAGTTCAATGCATAAATCCAAAAAATGGCAAAACTGAACAAGTGCACTCAATGCTTAATGCTATCATCTCCAAAAAGATGATAAACGTCCATCACATTATTCCCAGATGAAAGGTACACAGTAAAGCCTTTCTTGTTGTTTAACACTTGAATATAAAAAAGTCAAACAGTAGAAGAAATAAATGCACCGCTTTTTCCACTGTGCTGCATCAAATACTGATAATGCGTGATGGTTCTTCAACATTACAAAAGAAATAAAGGAGAAGAAAGGTACAAAAAAAAAAGATAAAAAAAGTGGCGGTGCGACATGAAACGCATGAAGAAGCATCAGAGGAGAGAGAAGTAAAAAAGCAGTAGCCTATTTGAAGAGCTTTATATTTACTTTACAATTCAATCTTTTTTTTTCTTTCATTCCAACATTAAAGGCATTCAAATATTATTTATATAAACATAAAAATGCATTTAGCATGATCCGTTGATGATGGTAATATAGTGCTTCAATGTATTGTATAAATAAATATTTATGGAGTCGTCGCTAAATGTATTAATGATGATAATCATTATGAGTAAAATTCCCCATACATTATCGAATAATATCCTTTGAAGAATGAAGTCTGTGTGTATTCAGGAAGCAGAAGATTTGTTCCAGTACAAATGACTTTATGGGTTTGTTTCGATAAGTATCCTTTTACCATAACAGCCTTTTTGTTAGGAATTCATTCAGTTTGTCGAGTCTTGTTTGTTTGAATGCTTCCGGATTATTTGAATAGATGCTTAATAAAATTAGTGTCGGAATATTTAGAAAGGATGGAATTAAGCAAATTAGTAAGTCAACAAGTTTTAAGCTAGAATGCAATAATAAGAACTACTTAAGTACTTGAGTATAGACATGACATTATTCAGAAAAGCGTTCCATTCACTTCCAAAAGGATCCACTCACATTCAAACTTGATTTCCTTTTACCACGCACGTTGAACATTAAGTGGCATTAATCTGCGGCACTGTACTTTAATAATCTCATCCACAAAAAAAAAAGACCGACATGAGTTATGTGCCGATTGTGCATAAACCGAAATATTTGAATTAATTTTCATCATTTTTTTCAAGGCAATTGCAATCTTGTACACACATTTTTTGTGACTGTATTGCAAACAAATCATCCAAATAAATAAATTTAAAACATCCATGAAATGATAAGAAATGAATCTTGAATCTCCCTCTCTCCCTCTGAGTTCTCGTGTTGTATATAAGCGGCAAGTAAACAGCCATCAATTTGACCCGTAACCCATTTATCGCTACATTGAGAATTTGTGATAATTTTTTTGTGTGTTTCGGTTGTATTATCTCGTGATTAATACGCAGAATGTGAGAGCGAGTTGGATCGAGTTTTTAATGAATTTAGAACTTTTTTTTTTGTTTATTTATTTATTGTGTGTCAAAAAACATTTTTCAAATTATTGTTGGATTTGTTTTTTTTTTGAGCAAACGAGAATGAGTTGAGATGCAAGTGTGACAAAATGTGATTAACGGTTTTTGGTGACTTTGGAGATTGATTGAATTTTAGTGGGATTTTCGAACAAGAAATTAAAACAAGTTAAGTGCCTTGCTGGTCGAATAGGTAAGGCGCTTGGCTCAAATTTGGTATGGTAACTCAAAGGTCGTCGGTTCGAATCCAGCCATTTCCAAATTTGTTCTTTTTCAGAAGTTTAGATACTTCGACTGCTTAATGTACGAGATCAAGCCATAATTGGGCATTTTGGGCAACGTTGGATTAAGGAACGGATCAGGAACTTGAAGTGTAGCGGGAGAAATAGGAACGAGAGCTATAAGATTACCTTATAATGGAATATTGTCAGAACGGACCTGAAATGTATCAACTCACGCCCACAGAAGATTAAAACGAGAGCCTGAATTTAATCGAAACCTAGATTTGAAGATTAGAAGCTTGATTCTATGTCACCCATAGTGATATGAAATGTATCACTAATCAATGTAAAAGGTAAAACATGTATAAAAACTAATTCTTCCGGACGGTAACGCCGACAAATAAATAATAATAATAAAACTTAGTCCAGCAAGAAAGTATTATTTTTTTTGGATTCGAACCATTGACTTTCATGCTCTTACTTGCATTTTCAATTGTAGTCATTCAATCATTTGAAGTAAATTAACAAATCGAATATTTGCACGACCAGCTTAATTTTACAATAATAATTAATGTCCTTCTTTTTTGTCTTTCATCATCGCAGCAAAATTAAAAGATTTAAAATAAAAAGTCCGAAAATTTTTCAACATTCAAAAGTCCGTTGAAATCAATTAAATCACTTAACAATTCATTCATGTGAGGCTCCATTCATCTATGCTTTTAATGCTTTATCATTAATCCAATTGACAAAAATTAAAAATCGTAGATCTTAAAATTAAAAAAATCTTTTATTTGAAGAAGAGTCGATTTTTTATTTCAATAAGCCCGCAATATAATTTTTTTGACTACGACGTTACGCTCTTATCAATTTCGTACAGTAATTATTATGTAAACACTTACGGCTAATGGAAATCAAATCATTCAAAGCCGTTCAAAGATTTGATTATTAATTCTCTATATCTCGTTCAGAGTTGGACTCTTAGTCTAATGGTTTTGATGCTTAGTGCTGGTTTCGTATGGATTGATGGAAAAATGAAGAATTATGAAAACTCAACACTGACCACATCATCATCATCTATTGTGTATATTACCAGCTACTACCTTATTGCTTGGACATACAAAGTGTAAATGGTTATTGATTAAATAAATTTTATTTGTTTTAAAATCTTTGCTGCTTCTTTTTTATTGATGTGTATTTTGCTACCGGTTTTTTTGGTTTTCTAATCTATGAGGCATGGATAATAAATATAAGAAGAAGATATGTAAGCAGTACAAGATACGCTTTTAAGACTCACAAGCAATTATCAAAGCAAGAACAACGAAATAAGAGAAGAAAACACCATTAAAATATTAAAACTTATTTGTGCACACATTACTTCTCTTTTTGGGTAAGAAAATATGAGATTTTTTTTGTCTTGTCGGCTCTACTTTGCATCTCGACTTGAAATAAGAGCTGAAATGTGTGTATATACTGTGTATAAATGAAAGAGATGAGTTTAAGTATTTCATGGAGAAATCTTTTGAGTACAAAAATTATTTTTAGCAGACTTTATGGAGAATGAGACGGAAGTGTCCGATTGTTCGATGGATGACAGTTCTGTCTTGTGAGTTCTTATGATTTGTGAAGGGGATGATCATCAAAATTTATTGGCGTGTCACTAAGTATTATAGCTTAATTAATATGATTGTTTGTTTGATAAAATAAGCAAGGAAGTGATGGACGTCTTGCAGTTCCTTGAAATCTTTGAAACTTCAACATGTAAAGGAAAAGAATCAAGCAGTCTGACAATTTTTTTATGCGTTTTAAAGAAACAAACCCAATAATGCACAAACCATCCATTTTCATTGCTACTTCTCCTTCCTTTTTAGTGAATAAATTTCCAAACCAGACAACGAAGAATTAAACAAAATGATAATGGCGCAAACAGAGTATAATCAAACATTATCATTCAAATATTTCATCTTCTTTTTTTTTGTACATCAAATTTATTTGCATATCTACTGTCCATTAGTGCGATGAATGTACGTGTACTTTTTTAGGTACGATCGGCGTGTGCTATATGCAGAGAGCTTCTTTTGTTTCATAACGAAATAAAAAGAATGCTATTTGAGGAATTTTTAATAATTCATTGAATGGAAGCAAAAAGAAATGAGGAAAAAATTATCACTAGCAGCATGAAAGTAATACGTGTATGGCTCTGTTTTGTTTGATCATTAATTCCTTTGACTCGTGTTTAAATAATTAGACAAATAGCTATAAAAATATATTAAACTTTGGTGGTCAGGCATTGTTTTAACGAAAAATATTACCGATTTTTGTTGATGCTTAATGCTTAGTTTCATGTCTTTAACATGCTTAATAGATCTTTTGTGTGTCCACACACAATTTAAGTTCTGGGCGGTTGGAGTGATGAGAAATTATGAAGAAATTATTATGCAAGAATTTTCAGGGAATTTCTTTTCAAGTTGCTTGCTTTTTAGGTGCCGTGACTTGCCAAACTTGTTAATTCTTAATTTTTGAATTTATATGTTTGTATTAGATCGAATGAGTCTGTAGCTTCTTGTCATACTAAAGAATTGATAATAATCTATTGAGTCAGCGTTAGAATTCAATGATTAACATCCTTTATGAATAACATCAAAGCCAGTGCGTGTTGATTCGAAATTTAAGTCTTCATAAATTCTTCCTCGTTATTAAATGGTGATTTGACTTGGAAACATTGGTGCTAATTCCGAATTCTTAAAATCTTCCAGTTAAAAATAGCTTCTTTATTGGGTTTACAGTAGTGCTAATTTTAGTTTCAAAGTATAGATTTTGGTATGGTTTATTCCAAGAACCTTAAATGGATTGTTTACGTATATTGATGATTTAATGCAATTGAAATTCTAGAGAAATCTCCAATTAAAAGATTGTAATTCTTTTCTTCAAAGGAAGCTGATAAGACACGGCGAATTTAATTATGTATGTGATTATAATGTGCCTATGCTAATGCATTTGAACTCTTATCTATGATCCATGAAATTATAATTATCTCAACTTCTCTTTGCAACTTGATTAAGTCTTATCATTAAATGATTACATTCTGTCTTAATTAAGTAATTCGTGTAAATGTTTTCAGGAATGATGGACATAAGGTGAATTTTTGGACACGTAATTAAGATTTTTTGAGAATCATCAAGTTTGAAATGTTCTTGATTTGAGGACAACATCCAAGAAATTTCAAATGTTATCAAAATTATTTTAAGCCATCAAATTATATCTTTAAAACCGAAATGTGATGTTTCCATGGAAATATATTAAAAATATAAAAGACATCCTAATTACCTGATGGATCCATCGTTTTGTGATGTCAGATGCTGGTGCTACGTTATGCAATTTTAAAAGCTTTAATGTCACAAAAATTTGTTTTCAATTTGCCAAAATAGACTCTGTTAAAATATATCCAATGATGCAGAAAGGCACCAATCAAATAAATTGTGTGCACATTTACAGTAACAAAGCTGATTGTTTCTCTCAAAAATTTATTTTTGTAAAATTTTAATATTTCACACTTCAGCCAAGCGACGTAACAAATTTTCGACAGTTTTCTCCTCTTTTGTTTAATTCCTTTGTTTCACTTTGTCGGCAAACTTTTTATTTCTTCTTTTTCTCAACAATTTTTTAATTCCACTTTTGTGTTTATCGCGAATTTTTTTAACACCGCAAATAATTTAAAAATTTACAGAGAAAAATTTGCACAAATGTATAAAGTTTCATGGGAAAAATTTCAATATTTTATGTGAAAATTCCTGAATATAAGCATTAAGTGTGTCCAAAATGAAAAGCAAATTTTCTCGTACAAAAAAATATTAATAATTAACTTGCATTCGTTCCGATTGGCTAGCTATTATTAAACATCAAATTAGTGATGTTGTTTCACACAGCTAAGCTATTTGGATTCACGAATTGGATGCTGTTGTCAAAGGATATTTTGCTATGAAACTTTTGTGAATGATTTCTTTAAATTTCAATTTGACAATTATGAGATCATCGATATTTTAATTATTTCTGAATGATTAAGCTGCTTTTTTATCATCAAATCTCTTGACCAAAAATATTCACTGTCCTAAATTTGAATTAAATTTCTTGATTTAATCTTTTTTAAGTCTAAAACTTCCAGTCAATGTCACTTAAGATTTATTATTCAAAAATCTTTAATTATTTTGAAAATTTCACCATAATCTAGTCCTGCAGAAGCTTATGTCATCCATTAAATTTCCACGTCACAAATCAAATTTGATTCCGTTATTTCCGACTGAATAAAGTTCAATAATTCACAACAAAACTTAAGATTCAAAAAATACGATTATTTTATAGTCCAAAAAATAATTATCAGCAAAATATTTCGGGAGCTCAACGACAAAACCTTTCTAAATGCTTCAGTGCTCAAATAGAACTGAAATGCGGGGCATAATTTATTTTTTTGTACAATATGAGAAACTGAGTGATATTTGTGATCGACGACAAACAAGAAGAATAAGAAAAAAAAAACATTTTTTGTGAGCCACTCAAAAGTCTCAAGTGAGATCATACACAAACTTACTGTGCTATACAAACAAATGTAAATGTACAGGGCTACAGACGGTAAAGTTTTGTATACGATCGCATATCCAAATGGCATTTAAGGTCGATATCTCTGCTTAGTGGGTGTGGTTTATGAATCTCAAGCACACTTTTGTATTTAATTTTAAATGCTTTGTTGAAAAAGAGGCGTATCCATGTGAAAAATGGAAGATCGAGTTTTTTTTTGGAGAGGAAGTGGAAAATTTTCCTTTCAAGTGTCAACTAACTTCCTCGTTGTTATTATTATTATCTAATTTTATTTTTCTGCACGAGATCGTAACGATCAGCATCTATTATTATTATCACCATCATCTGTGTTCACATCATCATGTATGCATGGATCAATTAGCTAGCGTTAATAATTTTTTAAGCAAATTCATTTCTGAATGCTGATTTCACAATTCATTTAGAATGACGATGTTTCGTTTTATGTTTAAATCTACGCTCAATTTAAATTGATTTTCTTTTCTTCAAAAAAAAGTCTCTTTGAATGTTTTTCTTTACAGCCAGAAAAATCAACACAACTGTTAGTGTTGATTAAATAAATCATAAAACAGGAATGAAAATTGTTGACTTTATATTAAAATTTAATATCAAGCATGTGCATATTTACGATGTTGGTTCTGATATTCATTTGGAAGCTTAATATTTAGATTCATGAAAGTGAAACGGACTTAGTCATGTGAATCCTAGCTTGATATTTAGGCTAACATCATTTGGGATGATTATGAAATTATTTTGGATTTTTAATGCATGTTTTTTTTGCAATTAATTTATTAACTTTGCAAAGGAGGAGGATTAGCAGCAATTAGCCATCAATTTCCAATTTCAAAATTAAGTTTTCATACTAATCCTTAATTATAATATTCATTCCAAATTCATTCTCAAACATTTAAAACAGGAAATCTAAAATATTCAAAAAATCAACAAAGTTCCTACCTTCAAATCACCTTAATCCTCCATTCCAAATTATTTATTATTTTTTTTTCTTAAACTCATAAATTAGATTTTCTTTTATTTTTATTTCATCTTATTTCCTTTCATTAACTACACATTAGTGTTTATTTACCTTTTAATCAGCATCTAAGCATGAATCCTCCACCAAATGTCTCGCTAATATTTTTATTCGTTGTGTAAATAAGTATTACAAATCGTTTTAAGAATTAAAAGTAGATGCAAACATGAACCCTTCAGTCTTAATATAGTCACTGTTGTCTGGTGTGTGTTTTGTTGACATTAGAACCCAGCGAGAAAAAGGTTTTTGAGAAACAGATGTTAAAGAAATTAAGTTTTAAAACTTGAAAACTTAAGGTTGGTTTCAGAATTTTAAATACCTAAGAAAAGCTTCATAGGTTGGTTCCTAAATTTGAAATTATTATTATTATTAACTGTGGCGTCTGATCAAGTTGAAATATGGAGTATCAAGCTATATCAAGGAATATTTATCATTCTACGAGTTTGATCTGTATCTCTTCTTTATAAGGACGAAGAGTTCATTCTCACCAGTGACTGATCTTTTCAATCATTAAAAATACAATCGATTAATGATATTGATTCGATACCTTTAACAAACTGGGTTGTTTAAATTTCCTTTACTCTTGTTCCATTTAAAATATTCCTTAAAGAAAAAGATATCCAAACAAAAAATCTTAAAAATACAAAACATTTTGTCATTTTAATCAAGACCACATTTTCATCTCATCCCAGAATCCAAACAAAATGACACAAGATAAATTCAAGATCGCGACTTGAGATTCATTTCATTCCTTAATATTCTTTCCATATCACATTTCATTAATTTCATGTATTTGTTTTACAAATTATCGTGACATTAAATCATCCTTATTTCCCCACTCATATTTACTTATGTCTTCAACCAGATTTTTTTTTTGTATGTTTGATATTTGCCTACTCAACATAGTGTTGCTACTGCTGCCAAAGTCACTGACTGCCATATGATTTGAATTAAATTACATACATCCAAAAAAATAATATGAAATATGATGAAAGAAAAGAACACAAAAATTTGTGACAGTTCATGGGAATTTGGAGTTTAATTTCGATTCACCGAAAGGATATACATCGAATGACGGAAAGAAAGAGTTGGGAATCATGTGTCACAGACAAACTTATCTTTTATGACAATAATGACTTTGCAGTAGGCAGCATAGAACTGAATGAATGGACAGTCTTTCTTTCGATACATTGAGCAAATATTTAAAATGTCTTGACGATCGTAGGCGACCACATGTTAAGTTTTTCGGCAAATTACCAAAGACATGCTTAATATGATTTGATTCTTGGAATGGATTGTTGAAGAGTTTATTTGACTTTGTCATTACTTTATGGATACAATGTGATTTATTTGGATGCTTAAGATGCCTAGTATGAGACTTAGCTGTGGTCATGAATCAGCTTAATAAAAATGACTATTTGGATGTCATTTGTGAGCAGCATAAGATTTATTGAAAAACCATCCTCTTGGACAAGAAAAGTTGAATTACATCAAATTTCACAGCTTAATGCCACCCAAACCCACCAATTCACCTCATTGTTCATAATCGTTTATAATAAAACCCAAGCAATCTTAACAGCATTAATTTTCATGATCGTTTTATTTTTGTTAAAATTTCTTTCAATTTTTTTCGGACAATTAAAATTGAATATGAACATGAACAAGTAAAAGAGAGGGAAAGAGGCTGAAAAGAGTGAAAATTTAATTACAGAAAAATAAGCATTCACATGAGAAATCATACTCATGTGACGTTGTTGCATGTCTGGTTGACATTTTGCTGCATTTTCGGAGAAATGTGAAGTTGACGGTTATTGTGGCAGACAATCAAATTTTCAGTGGAAGCTATTCAATTATTTGCAGGAAGTGAATGAGACAAAGAAGGAACTCTGGATGATCATACACTTTGTAGGCATATGAGGATGTAAATGTTTGAGGAACTAGAATTTGTAAGTGCGCTTCTTATACATTCTTAGACGACCATTCCTGCTCGAGTCTTTAATTCTATTCATGTAAAATACTCATTCGGCGACAGAATTTAAAGCATATACGTAAATGTAAAATACGCACAGTAAGTCAACAACATTTTTTTTTATAATATTAAGTATTGTTACGGTTAAGAAAATTCGTTTAATTGAAAAAATGCATCACTTAATTCTTAAATTAAGCAGCTCGAATGAAAGGCAAGTTGTCATCAAATTTTTCAAATTTTATGTTGTATTATGTGCCTGTAAAGTAAATATTATACACACAGCACAAAAAATATTCACAAAAAAATGATTTTAATTAAAACACAAAAAATGCGAAATTAAAAAATTTAATTGAATTTTAGATGCTTATAAATTAGTAGAAAATGTGAGTCTCTCAATTCGATTAAGTGCTGACAAGAAATATTTTCACTTTTATTAATTTTGAAGACGACTGTAGGTGATCAAATGAGATTTTGAATTATTGTGCGAGCATAATAAATAAGCATATAAATTATGTACGCTATGTCGTGACATAAATGCATTCTGAAGACAGAATTATTGCATTTCATATGCAATTGCGCTGTCTTAATCCAATGTGAAAATTCTCTTTGCAATGTCACCTATTAGCCAATCAATTGCATTTAGTAATTTATCGCCTGTTACTGCACTTACGCCAACCACGGACCAATGATGTGTTGTGATCTTGTCAAGTTCAAGAATCTGTGTTGAAAAATTAGAAATATGAGTTGATTAATTGTATTAAGTTAATTAAATTAAATGACTCAAATCGTTCTAATTTAAATTTATAAGTATTCATACTCGTATGGCGCACACGGTTTTGTGCAACAACCGATACAATGTATGTTATGTGGCATTAATTTTCAAAAACCGTTTCGTCTTTATTACAATTGTACATATGATACTTACGTCTTTGATTTCTTGTGCTGATAGTGCACCTGGAAGATCCTGCTTATTAGCCAAGACTAAGAGAGTTGCACCAGCTAATCGCTCTTCTTCTAACAAAATGTTTAATTCATCTTTACAAGCATCTAATCTCATTCTATCAGCAGCATCCACAACCCAGACAAGCCCGTCTGTGCTTTCAAAATAATTTCTCCAGTATGATCTTAATGACTTCTGTCCACCAACATCCCACAAATTCAATGTGTAACCTGATCAGGGAAATTAAAGAAATTGTTATGGATTTTTCAGATATGAGTCATGAAATATATTACCTCGATGTTCTAATGTCTTTATATTAAATCCTAAAGTCGGTGATATTTGATCGATTGGTTCACCATTGAATCTTTTTAGAATTGTCGTTTTCCCAGCATTATCTAGTCCACTATTAGTTTAATTAATGAAATTAATTTTCCAAAAAACAGATGATTACAAAAATGTCAATATTTACAGTAATAAGATTCTCATTTCCTTTTCCTTCTGTCTCATTTTCTTTAATACTGTGAGAAAACCCATTTTGAATACCTAGATTATTTAATCAAAGCCTTAAATATCACAAAAACTTAATTTTTCCAATCTTCAATTTTCACAATTTCTTTAATGTTTACAAATGAAAAATAAGTTTTCAAATTTTTATCTAACGGTTAAAATTCAACTACCTAAAGCTCTTAACGAGTTTTTTAAGTTCAAAAGTTTCCTGCACCTTACAGAAAAAAGGGATCTTTAATTTGAATATGTGTTTTGGACCAGAAAAATCGAGTTCAAATCGAATGTATTCAACTTAAAGACCCCCAGTATACAAAAAAAAATAAAAAAGTTTCCGTAGAAAACAAAATTAATTAAATTCAGTGAATTTCTCAATTAAGTGCTAATCAAAATACTGTGAAAAGATGCATAGATTTCCGGGCTAGCAAGATATCTAAAGGACATTTCAATATCAGTAGATAAAAGTGCTACAAAAGTGTTAAAATTGTAATCAAAATCAAAAATTTACTTTTCGCGACGTAAAGCAATTGAAAAAATGTCTGCTGAGCCAAAACGTGTTTCATTTATGACAATTGATACGTCTAGTGAATATCTAAAGAAGCCTGAGAAGGACACAACAGCCGGCAATACAAAGAGCAAGAGTTTTCGGCTTGATTTAGAGATTTTTGAGCCTGATGAATACAAATTTCCCGAATTTAATTACAAAAAACTTATTTACATAGAAAAGGTATGAAAAAAGTTTCATCTTTGTGATGCGGGGACATGAATGATGAAGGAAGGAGGTAGAAGAAGAAGAAGTAGGCGAAAAGAATCCATATATACACAAAAGTGTACATTTTATGACATGAATTACGTTCTCTCTTTTTTGTTTTGTGTTCCTTTATGCCAATTACGCTATTTCGCGTTATCAATCTAGTCTTTTTCTTCTTCCTACCACTTCCATTAGTTAATATGTTTCGACATTTAATTGCCACGGGTCATTAACTGGCTGTGAATAATTTTATTTTATTATTTTTCTTGTCTTTATTCCCATATAAAAATTTGCATTGATGGCAGAAAAAAGTCAAAAAATTGGCAAAATTACCCAACGGTACACACAATGACGATCCTTTGGCAGCTGATGACGATGATGTTGCACGTATTGCGAGAGAAATGGAGGCAAAATATGTAAGTTGAGTTTTGGTACATAAACATCGCAAGTCAGAAAGAGATAGCAAGATGTGTAAATTTTTTTTTATGAATGAATTTGCTCTGCAAGTTGATAATTTTTCATATCCTATCACTGCTTTATAAGCTCTAAAACCATGAATTTAATTAGCTACATACTTATAATTGGCACCAAAAAATTATTTCCATTGAATTATAGCAAATTTTGAATTAGTCACGTTTCTCATATTGCCATCTCTTTCTAGACTTATGTTTCACACATTTATGTTTACTATATTTTGCCGCTATTTCTTCTATTAGGGTACAGGCAGTACATACAGCAAAGCGAGTCGGATGGAATTTGATCGTGGAATCGGATATGACGACAATGATTCATTCATAGATAACACAGAAGCTGTAAGTAATTTTTATTCAAGATTTCACCGGCTATATGCTGATTAAATTTCCATTGATTAATCACGACTATAAATTTGATTCTAGTATGACGAGCAAATACCTGAAGACATTGAGACAGTTCGTGGTGGATTTTATATTAATAGTGGACTCTTAGAATATAAAAAGTTGCCGAATTTTGAACGTCCTGGTGATGAAATTAGAATGCCAAAAGCAAAGAAACGAATACTGTCTACATCCAGTGAATCAAGTGGATCAGATCGTGAAAATGGTCAGCCACAAAATAAATCTGTTGTGCCTGAAAAGCCTAAAAAGAAAAAGGTCCATCCAGAGAAGAAAATAAAGTCAGCAACATCGTCGTCTGATGAGCAAGGCAAGGCAGCAAAGAAATTAAAGAAGGAGAAACAAGAAAAACAGGAAAAGCAGGAGAAACTTGAAAAACCAAAGGACATTGTTCAACCGCCACCTCCACCAGTTATTGTAGCAGCACCAACAGTTATAAAAGAATCGGAAAATAAGAAGAAATTTACAGAAAAGGAAACAATAGATGACAGTAAGAAAATAATTAAAACGACAACAGTAAAAGATATGTTGCGTGCCAAACGCGATAATCTTCGAAAATTGGAGCAAGGAAAATCGAGTGGTGGAACAACAACCACAACAGACAATGACGATGACGATGGAAGTGAGTCTGTCAGTAGTCTTGCCGTATCAGAATCTTCCCATGAAAGTAATCACGAAGAGGTGCAGCCAATGAATGGAAGTAGTTCAGTTGTAACAAAAGAATTGTCATTTCCAACAAATTTCTCGCCTGAACTCGTTCAACTCATCACGAATCTTAAGCAATATGCTGAAAGCACTGCCAAGAACAATTCAAATTTCTTTGATAATCATGTGAAAGAACAGTTAATTAATATTGATAGTGTAGCAAAGTCACACAGTACACAAGTTCGTGTACAAGTTTATCATCAACTAGAAACGTTTATACCATGTACGAGAAAAACAATATTGGCGAAAGTAAGTCGATATCGTACACAGCAAGCAGACTCGAAGGTCAAAACGGAAATTAAAAAATTAAAGACATTCATTAATACAACAATGCCGGATTTAGTGAGAAAGTATGATGAAGATTATAAGACGTATGAGAATTTAAAGAATATACAACAAGTCGTTGGAGATAGTTCATTAGAGCATAAAGCACCACGTAAGAAATATCATTGGCATGATAATTCGCGACAAATACTCAACGAGATTGTTCAATTAATTCAAGATTTATATAAAGTATCAAAAGTAAAAAAAGAAACAATTGATGAGTACACGACAAAATATTTAAAGGATCATTTAGTACCATTATGGCCAGAGGGTTGGATAAAATTAGAGGATTTTACAAAGGAGCTTGAGAAGAAAAAGAAAAAGGATGCAAAGGTAGCCTTGTCTTCATCACAGATACTTAATCAATCAATTACTTCAACAAATGGCAAACAGCCAACATCAGCTCAACCACTACAGCATCACCTAAAGACTGAAATGAAAATTAAAATAGAAACTGTTGAGTCTATCTCATCGCCAACAATGAATGGAAAATCAACAGGTTCAGGAGTTCAATTATCACCTTCACAAAATTCAATGTCTGTAATAAAGAAAGCGAGTGATCATAGCATAAATAGTATAATGTCATCATCACCATCACCGCCTATTCATTCCAGTAAGACGTCAGCTCCCGTTCAAGTAGAAACAAAAACTCGAGTCATTGACCTTGAAAAGCTGTCAAGTCCAAATGATCTTCTTAAAGTATCACAAAAGGACTTGAATAGAATTTTACCGAAATATTCACAACAATTGAGCCAAGCAATTGAAATTAGTACAGATAAAATACGCATTTCTGATGGAAGTGATAGCGATTGTGCGATAATTGATAGTCCAATTAAAACAACCATTAAACCTCAACAACAACAGCAGTACCCTCACCATATAAATAACAATAAGCTTAATCATTCGTCAATACAACAGCAGCAGCAACAACATCAACAGGGCGAGATGAAAAAGACCAAAAAACACGATGACAATTACAGTAATTTAATTAAAAACATTGCTTCACTAACGGTATGTAAACTGGCGATATTATGACAAGATTATTTGGTCTCATTCAAATGATTTTCAAGCGGTTATTCATTTAAGTACTTACTATAACTTAAAAGCTTGTACATGTGCTTGATTAGAGCTCACTTTAAGCAGAGAATTAGTCAAAAATGTCCTTTTACTCAATCGAGTTGTAATTAGTGCTGACATGTCACTTAATCGCATGCAATCATTTGCAAGAGACTGTCCCGCTTATACTTTACATATTCAATCAATTCAATTTGCCTTAATAACCATATTTTAAAATTTCCACATTCATTTATTTGTTGTTGTTGTAGGATCCGAAAAAGAATAATCCATCATTTTTAAGTAATCCACTATCAACATCACTAAATGACCAGAGAAAAATGGATACGACACACGGTGAGTAATGTATTGCCATGCATAAAATTGCACGATGAATGAAAGTAATGACTGTGTGTGTGTATCTCTGCTCTTGCTAATTTAATCCATTCGATTTACATGTCTATCTGTGTCAATAAATGAAAAATAATAAAAATAATGAAAAAGGTATGAATGGAACAGCAACAAATGAACATTTCATGGACGGTTCTCCAAAGACGTCGAAAGGTTACAATAACAATCTTCATTATTCGATAAATGAACTTATTGTAAATACGACAACAAATCGTAGCGAGATGGTGAAAGGAAACAATAGTATGAAGAGGTAGAGGATTACTAGATTCTACTTCCAGTGCCTTTATTTGAGCTTTCTCTTCTTTTTTTTTATTTCTGAAAATGTTTTTACGTTTCGTTTTATGAAGTTCTGACTATCAGAAGCAGTATACGAACACAAATAATAATAATAATAATAATAGTAACAGCAACAATACAAATCTCGTCCAAAATATTTCAGTCATAACATCAACAAATGATGCAGGAAAGAGCAGTTATTCGATGCCACCTGTTTTGAATTTATCGAATAAGAAATAAAGATTTTCCGACTTTAAGGTTTGTTGTGTCTTGAAATTTTCTGCTCGTTCAATTTTTTGTTGTTCATTTGAGTTTGTTTTTGGGCTTCGCGGATGCATCGTGAGGAATTGAGGATGTGAAAGCCTTAAATCCTGCTTATTGGTTTTCTTGAGTGATTATTTTTTTGTGACGCATTGAGCATTTTCACAATCAATTCTGTTCTTTTTAAGTATTATAATTTTTAATTCATATAATTTCTTTTCTAAATTTGTTCAGGCTTTGAAGGATCGGAGTCGGAGACTGATTATTTGTTTTCTGAATTTTTAAATAATTACACAAAACATCAAGAGGAGAACACTTGAGACTCTTATTATTTTCGTAATTGACCTCCTCTGTCCCCAATTCTGTAATTTTGCTTATGCGTTTAAAATTCTTATCGAGTCGTGCTTTTTAATTTCCCGAAGGTAATCAACAAATTTTTATTTTCTTTATGATTGGGCATTTATTATTATTTTTTAAGACTATTAATTATGTTAACAAAATGCACACAGGGAAATTTATTGGTTTTGTCACATTTGTTATTTTATTTGTCTAATTTTTCATATTTAAAGCGCATTTTTGCAACTCTAACAAAGCTTAACGATATGAATGAAGTTTGTGGTGTATCCAGAAGTTTATTGATCTTTATAATATTTTGATTCTATTTTCTTCTTCTTTTAAAATTGTTAAATTCTATCTTGGATACACTCAAAAATGAAATGAATTAATACCTGAATGTTATAAAAGTGCGCTCAGTTCACCTTTCATTAATGACTTTATTGCTTGCTCTAATTCCTTTACCAATCAATTTTCTAATGACATTCTTAACTTTTCAATTACAGATTAGTGTAACGTAAGAACCTATTGCCTAAAAAAGTAGATAGAAGTAAATTGAAATCTTAAGCTGATTTTGATTCATAGCAACAGAATAAGGAATAATTCTCTAGACACCAAATACCAACGATATTAAGTTACACAGACACAAGAGAATAAACGGAAGTAAAAATTCATTTGTTTTTCTGTCATCAATTTTATTTTTTTGATTTATGCGTGAGTTTGTCTCATAAAGTTCTGACATTCGCTGCCAAATATGCTTACAACAGTGTTTATATTTATTATTTATGATTTTCTTACTGTCTTAACTTTCAAGTGGAAGCATGAAAGTTATTTTATTTCTATAATTTTACATTTACTATTTATTTTGACCTTAAAATGATGGAATATTTCAATGTTATCGCATTTTTAATCGAACTTACTTTTTACATGGAAGAATTCAATCTTCCACTATGCAGCAGCAAACTAGCCGATCATTTTTAAGTACGACACTAGTTATATGAAACAATTCTTTTTGTAATTTTCATCAACTTATTGAGGAATTTAAAGTTTAAATTAAACAAGATGAAGGAATTATCGCATTTTTGTATAAATTGTAATATAGTTGAATAGTTATTTATGAGAAATGAAAAATAAATGAAATGAGAAAAAAGTAAATTAAGTCATTGTTTTAAGTATCTAGACTGAACTTTTCATGAATTTTATAAAATAGGTATTAATTGTTCGAGATTTAGATATCTTTAACTTTTCCCAAAATAGATGGAATAGGCAGTCAAGGAAATGCTTTTTGGATAGAGGCAGCGCTGTATAGGACCTGGAAAAAATTAAATCTCATTCCCTTAAAACTATAGCCGTAGGAACAAATTCTAAGCATTGATTCCGAATATGAAATTGACAAGGCAAAAAGCTTCTGCAAAGATTTCAAAAGCAAGCAAGAACAAATCAATGCGAGGAATCTTGCGGCGAAAATATAAATGTCAAAAAAGCCATGGACCATAATTGACTACAATGAGATTACAAAGCATTTATCAGTAAATTTCAATTGAACATTTCTGAGGCGGATTGAAGCTGTCCGAAAAGTAAGTTTTTGCTTTATCAGTCAAGTGAAATTGCCTTGTCAATGCTTGTCAGCCAAGAGCCTTATGCAACAAAATAGTGGAGCAGCTATAAATTGCAATTCATACCTGCCATGTCTAAAAATTGACTAAGTGAAGCTCTAATTAAAAGATTTTCACTCAATTGATAATGATTTTTATGGATATACATTAGATTAGATTGAAATGATGTATCGTTGCTGTCTGGTCTAAAAATCAAAGCTTGAAAATCACTCGATAATCAAGTCAAGTGTTCTACACGGTTTTTGTGTCACTTTTTAATCAGATATTTTTTTTGACAATTAAAATTAAATTGCAGCACATGCTGCCATTGTAGTGTCATGACAACCAGAATAAGATTAATGCTTCGTGATTTCACTTCAGCGTACATTTGTCAACGCACAAAAATCACATTTCAATATGTTCGCATTCATTATTTAATTAAAATCGTGTATTTATAAAGATTTTTTTGAATAAAATAATTAATTCAATTATAATTAATTTGTAGGAATGTGGGAAGGATCCCTTGAAGTGAGTTTGCTTGATTTTCTAATTGATTCTATAATTTGAGATGAGGTATTTGATTGTGGATCCTTCAAAGTCTGACTTTAGTCAGGCTTAAGTATTTATATTTCCAATCCTAAGGAAGCTACCTTGGCAAAATTTGGTCTATAGATGTAGATTCATATTTACGAGCTGTTTAGTCAAAGGTTTACAAACCATAGCAAATATCTGTAGATTAGCATTTAGTAGATGAACCAATTAGGAACTTTTTGACTAAATGCTTAATGGAAACCTGACAATCTATCACGCAAGGAACCGCAAATAAATAAAAACTGTCCATTTAACACATGCAAATGTTATGATTTCTGAAAAATCACCGTTCGCATAAAATCATTATTGGGCAATTATCGCGAAACAAACAGAAAAATGTTTTAGTGATTTTTCAGTGGCATATACACGCAAAAAAAGCAGCCATATGCATATCGACGGAAAATTGATGATTTAAAAAAAAATGTTCTGCAAGCAAAGTAGCGAGAAAAATGAAAATTAATTTCAATTTATGAGCTTCATTGATTTTAAAATAATTATTGCCATACAATGAGTAGGTTGAGCTGTTATTGAGAGCTTATTTGTTAATTAATTAAATATTTTCAATACGTAATTAGAGCAGTGAAACGTTATGAATAGGCGTCAAGTCATTTTCATGAATGTATTATTTGCTTCCCGTGATTTATGTTTTTAGCAAGGTAATTAAGAGATTTATTGGGTAAATTAGCAGAACTGTTGGTTAAATATAATGAGCTTATATGATTATTGATGTAGTTTTTGAAGTCATTTAAGAATGAAAAACCAAAAGCTTTAAATTATTGCTGTTTAATACTGTAAATATTTTAGGTGTGAGTTGAATTTTAAAGCCAAAAGTTTTTAAAGTTATAAACTTGATACGGCTTCGAGCTGAATCTGTAAATGTGAAATTGAAACCATGAAAATAATACGATTTTTTTTTGTTGAAAATTAAGGTGTGATTAGTGTTAAAAATTGAATTATGTAATGTTGCATAGATTAGCACTAATTCAAATATTTCTTCAGGCTATCTATCATTTAATGAACTATAATATTTGTTTTCCAGCAACTAGCTGTTTTACACGGATAAACAAAATTTAAGGATTCAATTCATTCCTATTAAAAACATCTATAAGGAATAAGCAAACTCCGAATAACGGATCTCGAGCGGGACTCGATCCCACGTTCTACGATTTCCGGTCACATGCTCCTACCACTGAGCTATCGGAGGTTAGATGACTATATGGCTAAATCTCATATATAAGTTATATTCTTTTTACTGTTCCTTTGCACCACATGACTAATTGTTGAGTGGCTATTACATGGAATCGCATATTCCAACAATTCCTAGATAGTCAGTTCCAAAAAAGTCTTCATCTGATCCCAATTCTAAGTGTTCGGAACTGATACATTATTGATCAGTTCCTCACTTTTTGGCAACTCTCAGTAAGTTCCATTCAAACTTAGTTCAAAAACGAATTCTTCCTTAACAAGAACAATGAATCAGAAAGCACTAATTAAATCAGTAAACTGAATCAGAAACTGGAAAATTTACTAACAAGCTTTTCAAAACCAAATTTATATCCAAAAGTTTTCCCATAAAATTGAGAATAAAAACACAAAATTTATCCCATTGTGATGAGAAAATATGAAAAAAAAAACTTTCCATCTGTAATAATTCATTTAAGATCATTCATCAACTACCGGTAACATATTTTTTCAAAAGCCAAATTGCAAAAACAACTTTACGGTATGTTTGCATGTTTTTGTTTCTCCCTCGAGTGAGATGGACGCTGCACCAAAAAAACCACTCAAACAGAAAAAAAGCATTTAATGGATATTCGTGGACATGCGAGAAAAAAATTATCAAAAATTTATTAAAAACTTTGCCAATCTGTGACGCTAATTAATGTTCACAACACAAACTGACTGTTCTTTCAAGCCTCCAACAGTCGAGTACCTTGTAATCACATATTGGACAACATGAAGAGGGGATTCAGTAGAGAAAAAAAAAATATAAATATATTTTGTCCATAAATGAAAGTTATAATTAATTGCTTTTTGTTGTGTACACATCGAACAAAAAAGTAACGAGTAGGAACAATTTGATGGACTTAAAGTGCATTTTTTTTCGCGAATCTGCTTTATAGATGTGATTGGTGGATATTTAGTATCTTAATTTATCTGATTTCAATCTGAGCCATTTGTCAGTCAAAGTTATGGTGAAGGTCCAAAAGATCAGTGCTCAACAGACCTCCTTTAAAACTACAAAGCAGGGTTGCGATACAGGCACCTGTGAACAGGTGAGAACCGTACAATTCTAGATAATTTGTCATTTTTATTAGAATTTGTATGGTTTTGTTAGAAAAACCTTATAAATTATCAAGGAATTGTACGGTTCTCACCTGTACATAGGTGCCTGTATCGCAACCATGCTACAAAGGCATGTTTCTCAAAAAATAAGAAGCAAGAAGCTGTGATTCAATAGTTCATCTATATGACAATCCAACCTGATATTATCAAAGAACTATTTCGCCTCATTACCTTTTAAAGTACTGAACACAATCACTCCAACTCAATTTCAACCTGCAAGGAGCTCCTCCAAAATCCCTTCCAACAAAAAAATTTAATTTTCAAGTCTAAGCGTGAAAAATTCCACAATATTTATTTTTCAACAAAAGAATTCCATTCATCGCTAGATAGACAGTCATGCAAAAAAAAAGGAATCTCAGCATATCTGTTTGAAAATCGCAATAATTCAACCGGAAGAGCATATGTATAAATAGCAAGTGGTATGAATTTTTTTTCGCATGAACACATTATGCTATATGAAAGTATCATTAATTATTTCATACATGATAGATGGATGAATGGAGGATGTGCATGAACAAGAGAATGAATGAGAGAGGAAAAAAAAAACAGGCGAAATGCTTTTTAATTAGATAAACTTTTATTGAAAAGTTTTTCTAGATACTTTTCATGTATGATTATGATTATGATGATGATAATAGTATCCTTAGTAATGAGATAGCACCAGATGAATGAGTGGAATTAATTGATATTTAATTAAAAGTCAGAATATTTTATGAAATGAATTGGAAGTTGGGGAAAAAGGCGAATTATGAAATTTTGATGAATTTGGAATTTTTATTGATTGCTCATTGTAGTGTGCTGGAGTGCTTCTGGATGAGTTTGCAGCATAGAAGAATTAATTTGTTTTCTTATCTCGAAATAAATAAATAGATGAATCACTGCGGGAATAACTCTGCAATGTTTGTGTACAATGCAGGCATTGCTTATTAAAGATACTTGTATTCTCTTGGGATGAGACCATGGATCACAATTGATCTTAAAGATCATCGAAGTAAGTAAGCACTCATCTCTTAACATAATGTGGAACTAGAGATGGTTCTAGGACATTAAACTATGTTAAAGACTATTTTCAAATCAATCTTGAATATTGGAGCATTAAACTCTATCCACACATTCTTAAAACCCACTACATCCCATTAAATACTATATTGTAAAATTTTTAAAGCTAATACTTAATCGAAAAACCTTCTCAGATATCCTGAAAGGCGATTATGTGAACATTTTAACACATCCAAATCGGATTGCAACATTCTTGTCTATCCAAAGGAATAATCCAATTTGAAAATCTGCCAGGGAATGAAGAAGTAGAAAAAAAAATGTAATTATTTTATTTTTCGCATTAATTTTAATCTTCTTTTTGCACTTTTTCCTTTCCATTCATTTAAAAGAAAAAAAAAGGAATTGAATGTTTGCAACAGGATGAGCGAGTGAAAAGGAGGCAAAAGAAGAAAAAAAGTTTAAGTTACGGAGGGAAGCAATTTTATCGGAAGGTTTCACAGTCGATTTCACAATTCCATTTTAATCGAATATCTTTAAGCTGTGATTTATTTTAGCTTATTCTTTATTTGTATTGGTGATTTATTGTGGATAAAAAGAGGAAAAACAGTGAATAAGAAGGAGAAGGAGG